TACATTTTGGAGCTCTCGGGAAGGCGGGCGCTGCCCGCTCATGCCTGTGTCCTGCGGAGAATGCAGGGTGGAGACGGGCTTTTCTCCTGCCAGAACGAGCCACCGCTCCTGCGTGGGCCTCCTTCCCCTGTTTCTGGGTGGTTACACCAGACTCCCTGTGCTACCTGGAACCAGCGTCGTCTGGGCTCCACCCCTCCTGGGTGTCTGTGGCCTGCTCCTGCTCCATTCTGGGCCTCAGTTTCTCCCTCTGCAAAATGTGGGAAGGGGAGGGCCCACTCCATGCAGTTGCTGGAAAGATGGCATGAGCTTAATGAAATCTGGGGACTCACCACTATGCTGAGCAAAGTTTCTTCCTATCACCGATCCAGTGTTTCCTGGACCTGATAACGGGAAGGGATTATGGAGATTAATAGCCCATTCCCTCCCTGTTATGAATTACCCAGTTGACATTCTGGCTTCCAGCCCCTCTTGCCTAGGCGGAACTTACCACACATAGTGGATGGAATTGGCTCCCTGGGAGTGGAAAGCACTGTGTTTTTTAGTCTGGGCTCTGGCAAAGCCGGGCCCTGCCTCCCTAGGGGCTGTCTGTGGGGGCCAGCTGGCCTGCCTCTACTGCTGTGGACTCACCAGCAGATGTCCTGGTCAGTTTTGCTGTGGATCAGCAGTTTGTCCCATAGTGCTCCTGATCACATTGGAGGCATTGTTACAGCTCAGGTTTTCCTTAACCACCAGGGATAGTTGACGTCCACGTCAGAGTTGTGTAGGTGACATGAAGCTCAATACATGGCTTCTGGATTTGCTTCATAGACGAGCCATTGTGATTTTTCTCTTTTGCCCTGGTTCTGGGTCAGCCTGGTGCTCTGGCGTCCCCAGAATAGGACTGTGCGGCTGTTTAGGTCTCCAGTGAAGCCTCAGTGCAGGAAACTACTGGAATTCCTAGAGCTTCAGCTTTGGAATTGGGGACCCAGGTTTGGGAAAGAAGGCAAGAGAGATAGAAATGCCTGATCCGGTTGCTGGGGAGGGACCAGCAAAGTACCCAGTTCAAGCCCATCCCTGCAGACAAGGAGATCGGTGCTTCGGGAGTTAGAGGGGCTGGTATTTGCAGCAGGTTCGCAGCAGGCTCCTGACTTCCTAGCTCAGCGCACGTTCACAAACTACCAGAAACTTATTAGGAGCCTTGGATTCAAACGCGCTGTGAATTTGTCAAAGCCAAGTGTAAGAGCTCAAGTCTTAGTGACCTACCACTTCATCTTCCCTGTGTTTGATGCCTGAAATTCCAGCGCTCCCCCTGAAATTCAATTAGGATGAAATTCAGAACTGTTTCCTGCGGGGCTCGCCCATCTTGTGGACAGTGCTCCCCTTTATTGCATCCTGAATATTCTATTAGCAGTCCGAAAAGCTATAGATCAAATCTAAACCAGTGTTTAAGAATTTCAAGTACGAAAACTGCTTACTTGTAGATTCTTTGCCTGGGGTAACGTTTAATTTGCTTGCATTGGTTAATGGGTAGGTAACGAATGACATGGTTTGAGCACCAACTCTTATTGACTCTCTTTCCTGGCTGACATTTGGGATTCTTCAGTTCCTGCTTCCTTTAGTTACTATGTGTTTTTTGTGTTATTATTTCCATTTTATTTTTTTTTTTAAGGCAAATCAGACATTTTTATCTGGAACAGAAAACTGTTTTAGGCACAGGCACTAACACAGTTTCCCGTTTGTCCTGAGTGAACTATGTAACAGAGACTTGAAAAAAATCCTCCCAGGGTAACTGGAATGTCCCTGACTCTGTGTTCCCTTCGTCGCTCTCTCGTGAAATCTGGTGGGTAGGAGCTGATCATATTTTTAGCTGCTGAAAAACCTCATGAGGCCTGAATTGCTATCTGTAAGATTAGCGTGGCCAAAGGAAGAGTCTTAGCAACACGGCAATGATCAAGAAGCTTTTGTTTTGTTTTGTTTTGTTTTTTAAAACTAGTGCCTGCTATTGCCAGTTTTTATATTGGCTCTTAAAGGCTCTGGGTCATCATCTCTCACAGTGGGAGAATGGCCACTAATCCAGGGGAGCATTGTTTAGTGTCTGCCCATTGGTGTCCAGTGTAACTTGACTTGAAATTTATGATTCAATTATCAGTCTTAAAACTGATCTGCAGTAGGTGTCTTTAGGGAGGAATGCTGTTCTACGGGTGCTGAATTCCAGGGCACAAACCGTGTGCTAGGAGGGTGGCTCTGGAGCTCAGACTAAAAAAATTCCCAGGCTGGCTCTTCCCAGAAGAGAGAAGTGACCCTGATAGTTACGGCACTTCAACCTTCAGACTTGCAGCAGGGTACCCACCCCGACCCCTGGCAACCCTGGCCCGGGCTCACTCACCTCCCCCACTCAGGCCACTTCGGGAAACACGTGAGGCTTTTCTGGGAAGAAGCTGGAGCCCAGGCTCTGGGCTGGGGAGACCACCGCTGTCAGCAGGTGCATGCGTTGTCGTTCTCCCAGGATGAGGGCCTGTCTCAGCAGGCTCCTCTCCAGGGCTGGCCACAGGGTGACCAGACTGCTCAAAATCTAGCAGGGATTGGTGGCAGGGGTGGAATTCGGTTTTGCTTCTTGGCCATTTGGCTGAAAGCAGTGGTTTATTGGCAAAGGACACTGTTTTATATAGATGTGTGTGTGCAGGTGTCCTGCCCTCAGTCTGTGCTCCAGAGACCCATAGACCAAGGGCTCCTGACGTCTTCTGTGATAAGGACCCCTTGGCACCCATGTGGTACAAGCCTACAACCCCCTCTGGGAACACTGTATTTAAATGCATGCAATAACATCCAAAGGTAACCAGGTATAATGTAATATGGCCATCAAATATTTAAAACCATGACTGAGAATTGTTTCATTACTTGCACATTACTTATGCATTAAGTCATAAGATCCAGTGTCAGGTCTAGTAGCTGTTGTGATTTTGAAGTCGTGAGGAGCATAAACACGTGCAGGTGTCCGCAGCCCATGTGGCGTGGACTGAAAGAGCTGCTGTTTCTTTCGGTCATGAGCACCCGTTTCTGCAGTTTGTAGCCAATATTTATAATTGAAGGAAATGCTAAGTTTCAGTGAGAGGATGAAGATAAATATTACACTTTCTCCCCCATTCAATGTCATGGACCCCTGAATTTGGTTCATGATCCCAGTGGCTAAGAAGCCCCTCTTTGGGCCAACGCTGTCACTGGAAGTTGGCCCTCAAGAGACATGGGGGACATTTGGAGCTGACAAGCTGCAAGTGATGAGCCACACTTGCATTTTGGTTTTTCTAAACATGATCTTTATAATATTTTGAATTAATTTTGAACGTTTAAAAATTGGGAAGTTGCTCAGTAAAGTTCAGACTGTTAAGCTTTCTTTTACAGAAGCAGAACTGGGCTGTTTTCCCTGGCAGTGAGTAGCAGTGATCTGAAAGAGGCGTGGACGATGCCGTGTGTCCCAAGGCGCTGACACGCAGCCTCCCTGGCCCTTGTTCAGGGTCACCTGATCTGAGAGCACCGCCCTGGGGAGGAGGGAAAGAGCCACCCCAAGCATGGCCACTGAGGGGTGCCTGGCCTCAGGCGACGCTCTGAGGGCGCTGCTTGCAGGGAGCTTCTGGGTGAGGCTTCCTGTGGGGCCGGGTCTGTCTGCCAGGTGGCACAGATCGGAACTCCAGGACGCTTTCCTCCTCTTCTAAGACGCATCCTCGGGTGTGTGCTGTGTGGAGCAGGTGCTGTGTTGTTGGAAGATCTCACGTGGGGTTTGCCCACTGGAGATTAAACCAAATCTGTCTCCAGCACCGATTGTAGAGCTCTTTACCCCCAACAGGAACGGCCCGCACCACTGACAGCTTACTGGTGGTGTCCTGTGGTACTGGGCATGTTTTTTGATCATCTTGGCGTGCATGCTGTGGCACGTATGGGGATACGCTGTCGAGAAGCGGCAGGTGGATGTCACAGTGAGGGATGGTGCCTCTCACAAGGCCTCCTGAGAGTGCATCCCCGTGACGCAGCCAAAATGATAAAAAACCTGCTCGGAAGAGGTCCCCTTTTGCAGGTATGGGTTGCCCTTCCTGGAGTGAATGGTCTCCCCACTGCCCGCTGCTCACTCAGAGTGAAAGACTAGCCGGGAACCAGGGGCACCAAGCATGGAAACCAAGGGACATGGATGCGGTTTTCAACTTGGCCTCTGAAACCTACCCCCAATCCACGGAGGCCCACCCGGACTTCCATGTAGCTCTAATCGGGCCTTTTAGGTACCATTTTCCAGTGACTTAATGTGGGAGGGGAGGGCAAAAATATTCAAATGTGTTGAAATTGCTATTCTCTAGGGATTAGCCCGTGAAAGTGTCCCCCCACTCTGGTCCTCTGTGTTGGGAGTTAAAGGTGGGGAGTTGGGATCCGGGGCACAGGGTGAAGTTAAGCTTCCAACAGAATGAGGCTCCTTCCACCTTGCGCATCAGACCAGATTGTTACAAAGCCAACCAAAAACCTCACGTAAGAGGAAAACTGTTTTGTTTCATTTCTTAAAACAAATGGAGGGGATAGTTTGTGGCTTCACTCACTCTCTGTACTTACTGTCCACCCACCCTGTGCCATGTGCAGGGTACACGGGCAGTAAACAGACGTGATGTGCTCCAGCCCTCCCACAAGGTGGAGAGACAACTGTCTTAAACAATGAGCCACACCACCGAGTTGCAGTTGTGTGGAGTCTGGTGACCATCCCAGGTGTCCAGCTTCTTTTTGAGCCCTGTCCTGGGGATTTGGTGCCTCTTCCCTGAGGGCTTTGGAGCTAGAGGGTGGGTTGGCTTCCAACTCGCTGTGGGGCCATGTTCAGTCATCTATTTTTGTTGGACATTGGTGTCTGGGTCCTTTCCAGTTTCAGCCACACCTGGGGTCACGATTCCTTTGGGTGTAGGGTTGGGGGGACTCAACCTGTGCAGTGTGGCTGGTGGGTGTGTCCTGATCTCAGAGATAACCTGATCTTTCTTTCCCTCTTCTCCGGCCAGGGCGGGAGCAGTTCCATGGCCTGGGCTCCATGTACTGCCGGGGGGCAGCCGCCGTCATCCTTGTGTATGATGTGAATCACCTGCAGAGCCTGCGGGAGCTGGAGGACAGGTTCCTGGGCCTGACGGACACAGCCAGCAAAGACTGCCTCTTCGCCATTGTGGGGAACAAAGTGGACCTCACCGAGGAGTGGGCCTTGGAGGGCTGGGACAAGGAGGGGA